TAATAAACAAGAAGACAAAAGAAAGCAAGAGAAGAAAAGGGAAGGGCAGGAGGAAGATACTTACGTGGTGGGGCAAGGAACCCATAACTCAGTTTAGCGTTGTTTTTATAAAAGGAACATTTGTGGACAGGACTAAGAGAAACCCGGAAGTCCTTGAAGAGACAGTTGGAAAAGTCTTCTGTAGAGAAACTGTCCTGAAGAACCAAAGGAAAAGAACCATCAGGTACAGGGCACAGGAAGAGAAGAAAATCCCTGGGTAAATAGTAAGAGGTGAGCTGCAGTTGGCTACCTGTCAGTTCACATCCTTCCCTACTTTCCATTTTCCTCCTGGTATAGTCATCTTTTTTCTAACGGAAACACAAAGATTCTTTACGTTGTTAAGGACACTGTCTGTCAGAGATGTGCAAATATCTTCCTATTCTTCTCTGCTCATTTTGTTTATCGTGTTTTTATCTAAACAGTTTGAGATTGGAGTTGGTCTTCCATTTCCAACCATGCAGCCAAAACTTGTTGGGAGAGCCAGCAAGGGAGAAACCTCAGGAGCAGCGATGTCTGAATTCACACAGATTTAATGACATTGCAAAACTAAAAAGTTCAAACAGAACCAACAACCTCCATAATTACAGTACTAAACAACTATAGATAGGATAGGGTGCCTACAAAACAGGATGCATGCTGTATATGATGAAGTCATATAAAAAAAGTGATTAAAGGCAGTCTTTGAAAATTAAAAAAAATGAAGTTCAAGATACTTTATATAAACACATAAATATGTGTGTATACTATATATCATATGTACTCCAGTGCCCTATCTTTGTACTTACTTACCTCAGGAGTAGCGATACTTTTATTAACTCTAACAGCTCCTCAATGAAGCACTCTTAAATCTCTTTTCTATCCCTTAAGAGCATTCTACAGCTGACCAATCACTCTTGGTCTCTGAAAGTCTGGTGGGTCTAGCTTAAAATTAATACCAGGTAGGACCTCCTCCCCTGTTCTCTCTCTTTCTATGACTCCCCATCACCATTCTCTTTCCACCATGGCACTGGAGTGAGGGGCTGGATTAAGGGGAAATGGTGGTCTTTTCCTGGGATATTTGCCCTCACCCCTTTCTACACCCAGCTCCCTGTGTGTTGGTAGGACAGGGAGAGGTGACTGGCATCTCCCCCTCCAGATAGCATACGTAGCAAAGAGATTGAGCTTCCATGGCTTCCCCATCAATGAGGACCCCCTATACGATGTGGGCAGTTGGGGGAAGCACTTGTGCCCATATGCTGTGTATTCAGAAATGAATAATTATGACTAACTGTAAAACTGATTTTATGAAATTATAAATCAGAATCATAAGCTACCAAAACCAGGAGGAGAGAGGCAAAGGAGAATCCTGTGCTGCACACACCTTATTTCACAGATGTCTGCTCTAAATGCATGTCAAAGTCATGTAACATTTTTTTTTTAAGAGAGAGTGAGAGAGGGAGAGAGAGAGAGAGAGAATTTTAATATTTATTTTTTAGTTATTGGCGGACACAACATCTTTGTTTGTATGTGGTGCTGAGAATGGAACCCGGGCCGCAAGCATGCCAGGCGAGCGCTCTACTGCTTGAGCCACATCCCTAGCCCAAAGTCATGTAACTTGTTAGTGGCAGAATTAGAACTGAAATTTAATTTATGTGACTTCCTGTTCAGTATTACCCTCATTTGGGAAAACATAATAGAGATTAACAGTGAGAAACTATGCTTTTAATGTTTTGCTTAATAACTTGAAATAGGTACACATAGTGAAAGAGGGAACAAATACTTGCATTTCTGTTGACGGTGTAGGATGTCCAGAGGGGCATGAAGAGGTCATGGCTGTATCCACTCACAAACTGGTGCTGATAAAGAAGACAGACACTGTTTTTCTTCTGAAGTAGTCTGGGTCTTCCATATGGTAAAGTGCCAAGGTTGATATTCTCCTCTAGGGTCATAGACGGAAAATGAGATCACCATTTAAATATAATCAGTGTACATTATATGATGATATGTGATGATACACCCATCTAACCCTTTCCTCTATTTAAGCATGTTGAAAAATTATTTTTAACTGTAAAACAACAATTAATTGCAAAGAGCAGAAACATAAACATTTGAAAAATGTGGTCCACTTCAATTTTTGCCTATAAAGATCAATGTGTTATCAGCATTATCACTAAAGGATAAAACATGAAATTGCTAGGCATTCCAGCTAATTAGGACTTATAGTACTCAAAATATCTTCACTATTTTAATGTCATACTGCAGAAAGCATACAAGGAGACTTGGAACACAAAGGTTCAGAACTGAAATTGAGTCTAAACCCAATGGAACAATAACAATATAGACACTTTCTATTGCCTTTTTCTGAGTGTCAAGGGCTCTGTAGAACTCTTTTACATCAACTAGTTAATTCTCACATCTCCCTATAAATTAACATTATACACTTATTTTACAGACGAGGAAACAACAACTTATAGGAAATAAATACTTTTTTGATACAGAGAGTTCCTAAATTTATATTCAAACTCAGATCTGCCTAATGCTCAAAGTGCCATCCTTCAGCACAATACTTTACCACCTGGGGGATAAAAAGGTGTTTCTAATTCTGTTATGGTTTCGATA